GATGGAAGCAGGTCTGGGAAAAGGAGTGGATATGGCAAAAGGCAAGGATGGTGCAATATTAACATGTTTCCTGCATGTCCCTGAGCGCACAAGCAGTGAAACTGGCTCTGCCTGATTCTGGGAGGGGGGGGACACACGGACAGCAAGTTCTGCACTGCCACACATCGGTTACCTGAGGCTCACGGCCTGCCTGGGGCTTTATCATCACAGCCCACTGTGCACTTTGCTGAGGACACACTGATACGGAGTGAGGATGAGGATGAAGATGAAGAGCGACCATTCCCAGTGGAGAAGCAGAGGCTCATCCGCAAGGACACGCCCCATTATAAGAAACACTTTAAGATCACCAAACTGCCCAAGCCAGAGGCAGTGGTGGCACTTCTGCAGGGGCTGAACAGCGACGGGGTCCCTAAAGAGGAGGAGGAGTTGGGAGGCTGCAATAACAACGCAGAGCCCGAGGATCAGGAGGAAGCGTGGAATGAGGATGACAGAAAGAACGGAGCTTTGTCTGCTCAGCCATCCGTGAAGGTAAGGTCTTGTGGGGAGGGGGAAGGTCAGAGGGGTGCAGACCTGCCCTTTCCTCCTTTGACCTGCCAGCCAGGCTGATGTGGTCGTGAAGAAACCGCTGGCGAGAGGCTCCAGCACTTGGGGATGTGCTGGGGGTGGGAGAGCTGAAGGTTGTTGTGGGGCTCTTAGGGTTGTCCAAGAGCTGTGCCGTGTTGCTGTTTCTGACACCTTCACCATATTGGATCCTTGCACCCTCCTTGTTCCGTGTGATGTTCCCTGTACTGCAGGAACAGTTCTCTGTCCCGTTGCTGATAGGTTCTGCCGTTCCTTCCAGCCACCTCCTCGCTTGCTGGTTGTTGCTCCTCATTCACAGCAGGATGAGCTTTATCCCTGGGTGGATGCAATCTCAGACTGATGTTTGGGCCCAGTACTGACACTTGGCTTGCTGCCACAGTGCTTCCAGTGTGAGGGGGAACCCAGAGCATGCCCTTCGCTGTGCTTCCGCCTAGATGGAGCCTGATGGATGCTGTGTTGGGATTTAGGGGGAGCTTGTGCTCTGGAGCTTTGCCATGAGGCTATGATGGGCATTCTTGGTCATACTGGGGCTGATGAGGTAGGAGGTCCTTGGCTCTGCTCAGCCATTAGGGACACACAGAGGTTCCTGCTTGAGGAAGTTCATCCCAATGGAATAGGAATACATGGATAAGGGACACTGCATGAGGTTGGGGCAGTTCTCCCTGAAGCTGGTGTGAGGTGTGTTTGGTAGGCAGGGATTAGGATATGGCTGAGTCTCCATCTTAGTGTGACACCGGCAAATCTCGTGGGTGAGATGTGGGTCTCCAGACATGGAAGCTGCTGGAGTAAAACCTGTTCCTGCTGCAACTGCACATGCTCCAGACTGTCAGGATCACTCCCACCCCCACTGGAGCTCAGAAGGCCCACAGGGGAAAGTCCTTGTCCTCACTTTGCTTTGGAGCCTTACCCTCCATGGGTGTTTGCCCTGCTCTGCCTGAGCTGATGCATCTCATCCTGTGTTCCCTAGGGATGAGACGTTCGGTTTTCCTGTTGATGGTGAAGTTCCTCAGAAGGAAAAGGAGTTGCTGCTGCTTGTAGGAATGTATGAAGCTGTCCTGAGTCCCCTTCATCCAAGATCTGCTGTGCTTGGGAATGCCCTCACCCAGAAAGGTTCTTTTAGCCAGGGACTTGGAGCTGAGGAGGCACTAAAGCGCTGGCAGAGCCCTTGAGGCCTGTCTAGGTGTGCTGTACTTGACAGAAATTACCTTGGATATCAGCTGAGCCTTCTGCCTGGGAATCAGTTCTCCTTTCTGTCAGGCTGGGTTGGATGCCTGCTCCATGAAGGCATTTATTAGCTGCCTCCTGAGCTGCATTCCAAGAGTGGGGATGTGGGGAGCAGCAGCCCTGTGCAGGGGAGGCTCAGGGAAGAGGTGATGCGTGTGCTGAAGAAGGAGGCAGGGCAGGCTGTGCAGGAGGCTGAATCCTTAAACCAGAGTGTTGTGTTGCCAAGACGGTTGGTTTTCAGAAGAAATCCTAAGGTTTCTTGCCCTTGGGAGCAGGATCCAGGGGGTCTGACAGGATGTGCTGTTTCACCGGAGAAGGGCACTGGTGCTGTTTGGTTTGGGATTGCTTTTTGCTGTGCGGCAGCTGGTGGCACCACAGGCCTCTTGGTGCTTTCTCCTATGTTTAACTCTTCCTCCTTCCTGGAATGACCTGGTACAGAGGCAGGGTGAGGTCAGCTGATGGTGGCCAGCTCAGGGGTCATGGCCTTGGGTTACCAGCACGGACAGAACCTGGCCTTAGGGGGTGCCCTGGCCACAAGCACACTGGCACTCAGCATGCTGGAAGCCCAGGAGCAACCCTGGCACTGCTAAGGTGGTGGGCAGGAGTGGGGGCTGCTCAGATGCTGTGGTGGGCAGGAGTGACTCTGTGAGTGGGCTCAGCGTGGAGCTGTGGAGGTCAGGAGTGACTCTGTGAGTGGGCTCAGCGTGGAGCTGTGGAGGTCAGGAGTGACTCTGTGAGTGGGCTCAGCGTGGAGCTGTGGAGGTCAGGAGTGACTCTGTGAGCTGGCTCAGCTCTGGAGCTGTGGAGGTCAGGAGTGACTCTG